CGGGGTCCGGCCAGCCACGGCGCCGAGCTCTTCGGCCTGAGCCTGCCCCGCGGTCGTTTCCTGGCCGCGTGTCCGAAGTGTTTGGGGCGTTTGGGGTCGGCCGTCGAGAGGCTTCTTCGCCTCGGCAAGCGCAGCGGCTTGCTCCTGAAGGTCTTGCTCGGTTATGTCGCCCGCGCGGCGCTGCTCAGGCGCGAGGCCCTGTGCCTGATGCAGGCCGCCTACGCCTTCGCCGTCAAAGCGGGCCCGCAGCCCATTGGGCCGTGGCAGGCGGTGCGGCGTGATTTGTGTCAAGTGAGGCCGACGTGCTTGCGCCTTGGGGCGCGCAGGTGACGGCCTCCGACGCATCCAAGTTCGGACCTGGTCTTGTCCGACGCCAGCTCCCGATTGCCATAGTCGCCGAGATCGGGCGTCAGTCCGAGCGACGGTGAGATCGAGTGGAGGGTGGCGCCCAGGCAGGTGAACGAGCGCTTAATCGCACCGTTGTGCCATCGTCTCCTTTCCCGAGTTCCTCGCCGGAGTTCTTGAGCGTCCTTGAGGCTAGCTTCGACGAGGTTCCTGGAGATATGGGGGAGTCGTCCTGGGCGGGGGTCGCAGCGGTGCAGGTCGCGGAAAACAGGGGCACCTCGGCCCTGCCAGAGGGGGGGCTGGTGTTAGCTGCCCAGCATCTTCTCGGGGGCCCAACGGCCGCTCAGGAGCGCCTGGCGATCCTGGTGGACGAGTTACCCTTGGCCCTAGCGGCCGCGGAGGGACGAGCTCGCTCGCTACATCTGAAAGGGCCTCTGCGGAAGTTGGCTGCCCTCGGGCCGGCATCTGGTTCTCGTTTTTGCACCCATTGGATCTGCTTCAGAGCTCGACCCATCTGATCCGTGCCAGGGCTTCTGCCAGTGCGGCGGACGCGCTGGTTGCCTCTCCGTGCGTCCTTGGCGCTGGAGGGCAGTCGACAGTTGGTCGCGCGGGCCTGCCTGGCGCGCAAACTGCTGACCGTCCGGTGGCCAATCGCGGGGCTCGCTTCGCTGGAGCAGCTGGCGGCCATGGAGATCACCCAGGACCTTTCCCGCTCGGCGTGCCGGAAGTTCACAGAGTCAGAGTGAGGGGGCCGAACGGTCATTCACTGTCCCTGGGTGCGTGGCTGAAGTGGAATTCCGCGGTGCGGATTCTCGTTGTTGTTTGTTGTTTGTTGTTGTTTGTTGTCGTCGTCCCACCCGCAACCCGCCCCGCGACCCACCCGCGACCCACCCCGCGACCCACCCCGCGACCCACCGCGACCCACCCGCGACCCACCCGCGACCCACCCCGCGACCCACCCCGCGACCCACCCCGCGACCCACCCCGCGACCCACCCCGCGACCCACCCCGCGACGCGCCCGCGGCCCACCCGCGACCCACCCGCGACCCACCGCGACCCACCCCACGACCCACCCGCGACCCACCTTCGACCCAAACCACGTTCAAGGTACAAACCACAATTTTCGGCGCCTGCGGCGGGCTTTTTTGCATTCCTTCCAGGTGGAGAGCCCGCGACCCACCCCGTGACCAACTCGCGACCAACCCGCGACCCAAACCACGTTCAGGGTACAAAGCACATTTTTCGGCGCCTGCGGCGGGCATCTTTTGCATTCGTTTCAGGTGGAGAGCCCGCGGCCCACCCACGACCACGTTCAGGGTACAAACCACATTTCTCGGCGCCTGCGGCGGGCATCTTTTGCATTCCTTCCCGGTGGAGAACCCGCGGCCCACCCGCGACCCAAACCACGTTCAGTGTACAAACTAATTTTTTGGGCGCCTGCGGCGGGCTGCTTTTGCATTCCTTCCAGGTGGAGGGGAGAGCCAGCGACCCACCCGCGACCCAAACCACGTTCACTGAACAGACCAATGCCGCACAAGCGCGGCGGCGGATTTTTGCATGCCGTCTGAGCCCGCAAGGACCTCTTCAAGTTCCGCGCATCCACATCAGCCCGTCCAGCAACTTTGCCTTGGCGAATTGCGTTGATCAGAGAAGTCGGGGAGCATAAAGTGAAAAAAAAGGATTGCGTTGCAGTTATCTCGGGAAAGGAGGGGGAGGCAGGAGGAAAAAACAGGGGACGAGGAAGACGCGGAAGAAGAGAGGATGTAAGGATACTATGGAGAAAGAAAAGGAGGAGGAGCAGGAGGGCGAGGAGGGGGAGGAGGAGGAGGAGGGGGAGGAGAGGGGAGGATGAAGATGATGGACGACAATGGAGGACGATGATGGAGGCCGATGAGGGGGAGGACGACAGTGGGAGGACGATGATGAAAGGACGAGGGGGGGAGAGGGAGGACGAGGAAGAAGAGGAGGAGGAGGAGGAGGACGAGGTGGAGGAGGAGGATGACGATGACGACGAGGACGAGGAGGAGGAGGAGGAGGAGGAGGAGGAGGAGGAGGAGGAGGAGGAGGAGGAGGAGGAGGAGGAGGAGGAGGAGGAGGAGAGCGCCATCGACAGGGAAGGTAGGGGCCACGAGGTCCGCCGGCTCGACGACGCCCGCGTCGCCCGCGCCCGCCCCCTCACTCTTACCCGCAATTGCGGGGTGCTACGTATAACTGCCGTTGCCGGATGAGGAGGAGGATGGGGATGAGGATGAGGAGGCGGAGTAGGAGGAGGGGGGGGAGGAGGAGGAGGAGGAGGAGGAGGAGGAGGAGGAGGAGGAGGAGGAGTTGGAGGAGGAGGAGGAGGAGGACGACCAGGACGAGGCGAAGGAGGAGGAGGCGGAGGAGAAGGAGGAGGAAGAGGAGGAAGAAGAAAAGGAAGAGGTTGCGGAGGAAGGGCCGAAGGAGGAGGAGGAGGACGAGGATGAAAAGGAGGATGGCGGGCAAGAGGAGCAGGATGACGAGGAGGAAGAGGATGAGGAGGAAGAGCAGGAAAATAATTCTAGTAATATGAATTGTAAGAAAAATACTTTGGGAATCAAAAGTGCGGATAATAATATTGTTGTTGGTAATCATACTAAGAATGCGAATATTAATGCGATTATCAACATAATCGAACGAGTAATAGTCGTAATGGTAGAAGTCGTAATAAGAATGAACATACCTGTGCGAATCGTAGCAATAATATTATTCGCACTCACACGTATTCATATTACCGGTACTAATAGTAGTTATGAAAACATGTATAAGAACCATCGTCGCCATCGTAATCATAATCGTACAACTAATCAGAATTATCATAATACGCAGACGAAGAATATTCTGAATACCAATACGAACAATACGACACACGATTACGAATTATACAATGAAAGAGGTACATACGAAACATGATAAAACATACGATTGGCAACATTCTTCATATTATTACGAAGATGCATGTAGTAAGACAAACCAGAAGACACATCTTAATGATATCAATAAAACGCATATGAGACATACGGGTAGCACTAATCATAATATTAATAACATTAGTAGGCATACGAAGATTAATATGAATACTCAGGATCATAATCACCAGTCCTATTAGTTTTAACAACAATCGTAAGATGAATCATATCATCACGACAAATACGAATAACACTAAGACAAATAAACACCATAACGAGAGTACTAATACTTCTCAAGTGATAAAGAGAATCTCACACATAATAATAAGGCTAATTGTAATACTAATATTAATTATAATTCAACGAAGGACAACAGTTCTATTAATCAGAGTGAGGGGGCCGAACGGCCACTCATTGTCCCTGGGTGCGTGGCTGAATATGGAACTCGTGGTGAGAATTCTGCTTGTTGCGTTGTTGTTGTGATTGTTGTCGATGTTGTTGTTGTTGTTGCTGTTGTTGTTGTTGTTGTTGTTGTTGATGTTTGTTGTCGTCGTCCCACCCGGGACCCACCCGCGACCCACCCCGCGACCCACCCCGCGACCCACCCCGCGACCCACCCCGCGACCCACCCCGCGACCCACCCCGCGACCCACCCACGACCCACCGGCGACCCAACCCGCGACCCACCCGCGACCCACCCCGCGACCCACCCGCGACCCACCCGCGACCCACCCCGCGACCCACCCGCGACCCACCCCGCGACCCACCCTCAAGGGAGGAAAAACTACCCGGACCCGACAATGGACGTTTACTAAACGGCCCTGGGCGTTTATTAAACAGCCCTGCCCTGTTCGATTCATTCCCTGCGTGCGTTCACTGAACGGCTTCGCTTGTCGGGGTGATTATTCTGGGGTGAATTCTGCGCCCTACACCCGCGACCCACCCGCGACCCAACAACAGCGACCCACCCGGGACCCACCCGCGAGCCACCCGCGACCCACCCGCGACCCATTTGCGACCCACCCGCGATCCATCTGCGACCCACCCGCGACCTACCCACACTGGTTTAAAGAAAGAATCGCCGCCTGCGGCGGGCTCGTTGTATAATTTGTGAAACTTTTGCGCCTGCGGCGGGCTTTTCCAGAGTCTCGCAAACTGCCGACGTCCCCACCGCCCCCTCACTCTTACCTGCATCTGCGGGGGGTTACGTAATATTATTAAGATTTTTATATAGATACACGCTAGCAATGCTATTAGTAAGAGTAAGAAAGTTGATATTACTACTAGTAATGATAGTGTTGCTAGTTGTGCAAGTAAAACCCATACGAACAATAAGACACATAAGCAGCAAAGGAGGATGAACCGGAGGGGAAGGAGGAGGAGGAGGATGTCGGGAGCCTCGCGACGGGGGTCAATGCAAACGGGGGTCAGCCAGAGCGCCAGATCTTGCAGGATCCTGCAGGGCCAGGGTCGCATTGACCCGGGTTTGGGTGCAGGATCCTGCAGGATCTTGCCGGATCCTTCGCATTGACCCTGGTTTGGGTGCAGGATTTTGCAGGATTCTGCAAGGTCTGACTGACCCGGGTCTGGATTGACCCGGGTCAGCAAGTCTCCGAGGATGAGGAGGAGGAAGGAAAGGAACACGAGGATGGGGCGACGACGACGACGCCGACGGCCTCGTCGCCAAGGGCGGCGGCGACGCCCCCTGCGCGCAGAGCGCGCCCCAGGAGGCGTGGGCGCCCGACGGCTGGCTCGGACAGCGGGCGCCCGCCCTCCCGCCGCTCCCTCGCGGGAGACCTCTCGCGCCGACCTCGTTTTCGTCGTCGTCGTCGTCGTCGTCGTCGTCGTTATCGTCGTTGTCGCCTTGTTGTCGTTGTTGATGATGTTGTTGATGGTGTTGCTGTTGTTGTTGAACATTATTTCTTCTTAAGAATAATTATTGTTGGGACCCCTGGTGCACGACCCCCCCGCCGCGCCTAGGCCGCAGCCTCATTTTCATCATTTTCGTGAGGAAGTCTCAGGCAAAACGATTAGTACCGGATCCGGTTGTTTTGTTCCCCCCCGCTTTCCCTTGCAAAAAACAATAGAAAATGAAAATTCTTGTTCTTACTTGATCAAATTGCAAGAATCCCTTGCAAAAAATAAGGTAAAGTGGACATTCGTGCGCGCAAGACGAAATCCTTCCAAAACCTTAGGTTTCGTAACGATTTTAACATAAAAACATCAAAAACCCAATGGTTTTTTAAGAAAAAATTGTCAAAATGTCCTTCCGCGCGCGCTGTCCGAATCCCACAAAACCAATGGTTTTTCAACATTTATGTTACATGAGCTCGCGCGAGCTACTTTTTCTTGTTCTAACATAATCAAATTTCAATAATCCCTTGCAAAAAATAAGGTAAAGTGGACATTCGCGCGCGCAAGACGAAATCCTTCCAGAACCTTAGGTTTCGTAACGATTTCAACATAAAAACATCAAAAACCCACTGGTTTTTCAAAAAAAAATGTCCAAATTTCATCCCGCGCGCGCTGTCCGACTCTGGTTTTTCAACATTTATGTTACATGAGCTCGCGCGAGCTACTTTTTCTTGTTCTAACATAATCAAATTTCAATACTCCCTTGCAAAAAAAAGTAAAGTGGACATTCGCGCGCGCAAGACCAACAAAAAACACGACGATCTCAGGAACTTGCCCCAAAAATGTGACCAACTCCGCTCTCTCTGTCTCTCTCTCTGTCTGCTCTCTGTCTCTCTCTCTGTCTGTCTGTGTCATGTATTGTATGTCACAATTGCAGGATGCTGGGCACACGCGCGCCCCGAATAAGTGACCAAGTTCTGTGGGTGTGTACCCCACGCCAGTGTAGTAGCCACGGTCGTCCGCACGCCACGAAGTGAAGTGTCCCAACGTCATAGGGCGGGAAGCTGGGTTTGGGTGGTCGCGAAGAGTCGTTTGGATATTTGGTAGAGCTTGAACTGCCCCCCCACGAAGTGGGGGTATTGTCTCGCGTCGCATGAAAACCCTGGCACTGGTGAGAACACTGAGCGTTCGGGTAAAATGATTGTTGTTGTTGTTGTTGTTGTTGTTGTTGTTGTTGTTGTTCTTGTTGTTGTTGTTGTTGTTGTCGTTGTTGTTGTTGTTGCTGTTGTTGATGATGCTGTTGCTGCTCTTTTTGTAGTTGTTGTTGATGGTGTTGTAGTTGTTGATGTTGTTGTTGTTGTTGTTGTTGTTGTTGTTGTTGTTGTTGTTGTTGTTGTTGTTGTTGTTGATTCTGTTGTTGTCGTCGTCGTCCTCGTCGTCGTGGTCGTCACAGTGAGGAGAAGGAGGAGGGGGAGGAATAGTAGTAGGAGGGGGAGGAGGAAGACTGGGGAAGTCGGGGTACATCCAGAGGTCTCCAGAGACATTTTGATACTTGTTGGGGATCCAGCGCGGGTCGCCCCCAGTGTCTCAGGATCCAGGCCTCCCAACTACGCGTGGTCGGAGGATTGCGTTGCATCACCGATACATCGGCTTTACGCTTCGATTGGGGTTAGATTTTCCCCCCGCACCGACGTCGCCGATCCTCGGACACCACCTACTCGGATCCTCTTAAGGAGGCCTCTAGATGTCCACGCTCTCCAAGAATGTGGCCGCTCAGGAAAGAGAAGCTCGGGTTTACTGTGGCGCCGTGTCGGTGCGGCGGCTGCCCCAGCGTGGACGCTCAAGGTTGAACGCCACAAGCGGCCCGACAACGCTGGATGTCGTTCGACCTCTGCGTTAGTGGAAAGCGTTTGTCTTTCAGGATTGAAGGATCCACGCGGGGTTGGAAATCAACGCCGACGTCATCACGACACGAGCCTGTCGTACACCCCAGGGGGCTATCTGGACGCACCCCGATCGAGATGGGGCGACCCCCATTGCATGCCACCGAGGTGAGCCCCGAATTACCTGGCTTATCCAAAGTCCCACCAAGTCCAGGGGAACACCATATCTCCTCCTCCTCCTCCTCCTCCTCTTCCTCATCTCTCGTCCCGTACGCTTGCTCTTCAGGGAGGGAAGCAGAGGAGGTGCAGGAGGAGGAGGAGGAAGCGATGATGGGGGAGAGGATGATCAGCAGCAGGAGGAAACTCGATGATGATAGTGATGATGACCAGGATGATGATGACTCTGCTGATGCTGATGCTGCTGCTGATGTTTGATGATGCTGTTGTTGATAATGAAGATGAAGATGACGATGAAGCTGAAAATGAAGATGGTGATGGTGCTGATTATGATGATGCTGATGATGATGACGATGATGATGATGATGATGATTGTGCTGATGCTGATGCGGCTGATGATGACGTTGATGATTTCGATGCTGACGGCGATGACGACGATGATGGTGATGCTGATTATGATTCTGATTGACGACGATGATGGTGATGCTGATGATGATTATGATTATGATTATGGTGATGATGATGGTGATGATGATGATGATGATGATGATGATGATGATGGTACCGATGACGATACTGATGATGACGATGATGATTCTGCTGATTCTGCTGATGATGATGATGCTGAGGCTGGTTATGATGCTGCTGCTGATGATGATGATGGTGATGATGATGCTGATGATGATGATGATGATGATGATGGTGATGCTGATGCTGATGCTGATGCTGATGCTGATGCTGCTGATGATGATGTTGATGATGCTGCTGCTGATGATGATGATGGTGATGATGATGCTGATGATGCTGGTGCTGCTGCTGATGCTGATGCTGATGCTGATGCTGATGATGATGAGGATGATGATGATGATGATGATGATGATGATGATGATGATGATGATGATGATGATGATGATGATGATGATGATGATGGTGATGATGATGATGATGATGATGATGATGATGATGATGATGATGATGATGATGATGATGATGATGATGACGATGATGATGATGATGATGATGACGATGATGATGATGCTGCTGATGATGATGATGATGATGATGATGATGCTGATGATGATGATGATGATGATATATTGATCATTTTGTTGGTTGTAATGGAGGTGATGATGATGACGATGACGACGCTGATGATGACGACGATGACGATGGCGATGATGACGATGACGATGTTCGCGGCCTGGGCAGAAGAGTGTCGTCCCGTTCCCGGGCGGCGGCGCGAGGGCCCGGAGGTAGCCGCGATGCGCGGAGGAGATGAGGGGACACAGCTCCACGGCCGAGTGCGCAATCGCTCTCCGACCAGTTCGAGTTCGTCGCGGACCACTCCATCGATGCGATCCAGCAGAAGGCAGAGTGGGCAGTGCAGTTGATGAACCACGAGAGCAGTTTCGCAGAGCGGCTCGCTGCTTTTGCGGCTGTGGAGGGTATACTTTTCAGTGGCTCGTTCTGTGCGATATATTGGTTGAAGAAGCGCGGGCTGATGCCAGGGCTGACATTCTCAAACGAGCTGATCTCACGGGACGAAGGCTTGCACACTGAGTTCGCGTGCCTGCTCTACGGGAAGCTGCAGAACCCCTTTACCAGAGGACGTGATCCACAACATCGTCCGCGGCGCTGTGGAGGCCGAGCGTGTCTTCGTCCGTGATGCGCTGTCTTGTGATCTCATCGGTATCGGTATGAACAACGACCTCATGACCCGGTACATCGAGTTTGTCGCGGACCGCTTGCTCACCGCGCTGAGCCATTCCAAGCTGTTCGGGGCGTCTAATCCGTTCGACTGGATGGAACTGATTTCGCTGCAGGGGAAGACCAACTTCTTCGAAAAGCGCGTCGGCGACAACCAGAAAGCCGGGGTCATGTCCTCGACGAACGCCTCGAGGGAGGAAGCCAAAGGTTTCTCGCTGGCCGTGGATTTCTAATAGGAGGCGGCGCACTACTACTCACCCACTTGCATGAAAGATGTAGTGGAGCGGGGGAGAAACACGTCGCCCTCATCCCCAGTGTGTCCAATGGACAATTCGTGTGCCGTTGCCTTTCGTAGTGCCTGAGCGCTGCCAATCCGGTGTGTGGCCGACAGCCCGTGCAGAAGGCCGTGCGTTGCATGTCGCGTTTTACATGTGGGCGTCCTCCACCAGTGGGGATGGGCATGGGGGAGATGCCGCTCAAGGTGCCACCGCGCGGAGGTGCAATCGTGGTCATGCTTAGCATGGGCCAAGGCCTTGACCCCAGACTCGCCCTCTCACGCTTGGCTCTTCGCATGTTTCCGGGCTTGTTCTTTGCTATGTCCAGGCGCTCTCTGATCAGTTGGTGCTGCTTCTGGGGGAGGAACATACACAAAAGCGAGCCACGGATCAGCTCTACCCAGGCCTCACGTCTCCCCCCGAGACACCTCTCGCGACCCCCCCTCCCCCCGGGAGAGTCAGGCAAACGTGAGGCCCGAGCTTGCTGGACTCTGGGTATGTCCACGGTCTTTGAAGGTCCCAGCGTGACTTATGACAGTCCACAATTTTCAAGGTCCGTAGACCACCATAAAAATGGCCGCATGCCATGTGCGCATACAGTCGTAGCGCTGAAGATGAAACCCTTTTCGTTTGGGGAGGGGCTCGGTGTTCCTTGACTGTTTCACAGCTTGCCTCAGCCGAAGCTTAACTTATGGACAAAAGGGGCCTCGTTCCTTATTTAGGGTTCCTTGGGTCAACGCCCTGACTGTGGGAGCAGCCCGACGGAGAAGGCTCCCAGAGGTAATCGGAAACAGCTCCGACGGCCCCTGGCATATGCCGATCGGGGATTGCTTCTGCTGCGAGGTGGGGCCAGTCTGGTTGCAGGTTCGAGTCGGACGCAAGCGGGTGTTCGGTGAGGTGATCGATGAGATCGCCGATTTAGCGTCGCGTAGCGTCGATTAGCGTCGATTCAGCGTCGATCAGCGTCGATCCGTGCCGATTCGCAATAACCAGCCAGGTGGTTTGTGAGGCTCCCATGAGTTGCCGCAGAAGGGGTGGGGGTGGGAAAGGTAGGGGGGTACTCACCACCCACCAAACCACCCCAACCCAACCCGAAGGCCTCAATTCGCCCTCCATTTCCGGGGGGGGGGGGCTCGGGGAACATTGGAAAAACACATATGGAACCCGTATCCCCCCCCCAATCCGAAATGCGGGTGTTCGGGTTGGGTTGGGGTGGTCTGGTAGGTAGTCAGGTGCGAAACACTGCAGCCTGCAGCAGGTCCCGGCCCCGCCGCCCAGGCCCTGCATGCATGGCCACCTCCCGCGTCGGGAGGCGCCAGGGGAACCCGCTGCACGCGGCCGATTCGCTCCCCCTCCCCCTCTGCCATCCCCCCTTTCGTCCGCCCCCCTTGCCTCATGCGCCTGGGGAGCCCGCTGCATGCGGCCGATTGATTTGCATCCCCCCCCACTCCTTTGCATGGCCCCCTCTCGCGTGGGGAGGCGCCAGGGGAACCCGCTGCATGCAGCCGATTCGCTCCCCCCCGTTCCCCTATCGCCCCTTTCGTCCGCCCCGATGATTGTTGGTTGGGCCAGTTCTTGTCGTTGCTGGTGATGGTGTGGTGTTGGGCTGTCGGGCGCAGCGGAGACCCTCCGGGGCTGCCAACGGTGTCACTGGCCCCCGGTGCCCCTCTCAGCTCTCTTCCTCCTGCTCCTCGTCCTGGTCCTTGTCCTCCTCCGCCTCCTCCTCCTTTCTGGAGCCCCTGGGGCCCCTCCAGGCCTCGTGAGGGGTGCTCTGGAGGTTATCCCTGGGCCTCCCTGGGCGTCCTCGTCGGGCCCAGGCCTTTAATTAGCAAGCGAGGTACGGAGCAGTCCGTAGCCATTTTGGCTCAATCCATTTCTGCTTTCTGGCTCCCGTGAGCTCGCAGCTAGAACTCTGGAAGCCTGTGTAGTGAAGGATGGCTCCGTCGGCTCAAGTTGCCACAACAGCCGTGGTCAGCCGTGTCTCCGCCGAGTACCGCGAGCTCGAGAAGTCCGAGCCTCTCCTGCAGGAGAACTCCCAGCGCTGGGTCATGTTTCCCATCAGGCACCACGACATTTGGGAGATGTATAAGAAGCACGAGGCATCCTTCTGGACGGCAGAAGAGATCGACCTCTCGCAGGACCTCCGGGACTGGGAGACTCTGGCAGACAGCGAGAGGCACTTCATCAAGCACGTGCTCGCGTTCTTCGCTGCCTCTGACGGGATCGTGCTGGAGAACTTGGCCGCCCAGTTCACCACAGAGGTCCAGTCACCAGAGGCGCGTGCCTTTTACGGCTTCCAGATGGCCATGGAGAACATCCATTCCGAAACATATTCTCTGCTGATCGAGCAGTACATCAGGGATCCCGCTGAAAAGGAGATGGTTTTCGATGCGATCCATACAATGCCAGCGATCCAGCAGAAGGCAGAGTGGGCAGTGCAGTGGATGAACCACGAGAACAGTTTCGCCGAGCGGCTCGTTGCTTTTGCGGCTGTGGAGGGTATACTTTTCAGTGGCTCGTTCTGTGCGATCTATTGGTTGAAGAAGCGCGGGCTGATGCCAGGGCTGACATTCTCAAACGAGCTGATCTCACGGGACGAAGGCTTGCACACTGAGTTCGCGTGCCTGCTCTACGGGAAGCTCCAGAACCCTTTGCCAGAGGACGTGATCCACAACATCGTCCGCGGCGCTGTGGAGGCCGAGCGTGTCTTCATCTGTGACGCGCTGTCTTGTGATCTCATCGGTATGAACAACGACCTCATGACCCGGTACATCGAGTTTGTCGCGGACCGCTTGCTCACCGCGCTGGGCCATTCCAAGCTGTTCGGGGCGTCTAATCCGTTCGACTGGATGGAACTGATTTCGCTGCAGTGGAAGACCAACTTCTTCGAAAAGCGCGTCGGCGACTACCAGAAAGCCGGGGTCATGTCCTCGACGAACGCCTCGAGGGAGGAAGCCAAAGGTTTCTCGCTGGACGTGGACTTCTGATAGGAGGCGGCGCACTACTACTCACCCACTTGCATGAAAGATGTAGTGTAACGGGGGAGAGAAACACGTCGCCCTCGTCCCCAGTATGTCCAATGGACAATTCGTGTGCCGTTGCCTTTCGTAGCGCCTGAGCTCTGCCAATCCGGTGCTTGGCCGACAGCCCGTGCAGAAGGCCGCGCGTTGCATGTCGCGTTTTACATGTGGGAGTCCTCCACCAGTGGGGATGGGCATGGGGAGATGCCGCTCAAGGTGCCACCGCGCGGAGGTATAATCGTGGTAATGATTAGCATGAGCCAAGGCCTTGAGCCCAGACTCGCCCTCTCACGCTTGGCTCTTCGCTTATTTCCAGGCATTATCTTGGTTATGTCCAGGCGCTCTCTGATCGGTTGGTGCTGCTTCTGGGGAAGGAGCGCGCAAAAAAGAGTTACAGAGCAGCCCTGCCCCGAACTTGCGAGGCCTCACGTCTCCCCCCCGAGACACCTCTCGCGACCCCGCCCCCGGTGAGCGTCAGGGAAACGTAAGACCCAAGCTTGCTGGACTGGGTATGCCCACGTTTTTCGATTGTCCTGGCGTGAGTTTTGACGGTCCGCCTGGGGCTCAG